ATATAGTATACTCAAATAAAGGAAGAAGTGAATAAATGCTACAGCCACAGTGGGAACTCCTTGTTCCCAGAATATACCACAACGATTCCTACCTCTGGCCTTTGCACACTGTTGTGGGGTGGCTGGATCCCAGTTCTCATCTCTGATGCAAGAAGAAATTCATGCAAGCGATGTAGATAAAGGTCAGCAGAGAAGCAAGATTTGTTTGCTTGCAAAAGTACACACTCAAGAAGGCATGTGGGCAAGCTCAAGAGAGAGTTGCACCAACAAGGTTCAGGCATCGCTTACAAGAACTGGAGGCAAAAAGAGTGTTGTCTGAGGTGGGGTCAATTGAATATTCATAAAGGGTGCGGCTGGGTGAGATTGAGTACCGCTCATTTCCTTGTCCTTTTGTGTAAAGTGTCACAGCATCCAGTGCATGATGGGAATAGGTGTGTCAGACATGGTAACTTTATTATAATGAGCACACAGTAAGCTAAAGGTCACCACAGGGATGCAGCTGGCTGCTGTATGGTACAGCACCAGTTCCAAGCAGCAAACCACGAATTTGGGTGGTGCAGGCGGGGCTGCAGTATTTGTGTGACTACAGGGAAGGGCTATATGGCAACCTCAGCTTCTCCCCCTTTAGCCACCTCCTTACTTACATCAGAACTTTCTCCTGTTGTGTTCTCCTTCCTTCCTCTGCTCCAACAAAGCTCTTCCATTATTCTCTTTCTCTCTCCCACAGTTGTGATATGCATTTGGCACTTATTTCTGCCTTGTGGAACTGATGATGACTTGGGTAAATTATTATTTATCAAAACTGTGTTCCTGTATTCTATAGGAATTATCTCTTATATTTACAATAACTCATTTAACTGAGAAGGACATAAAGATTTAGAGTAGTTTTTACAGTTGCCTTTCAGATAAAATTTAAAAAATCAACAAAAATGTAAAAAATTAATCAACATCACAAAACTAGTGAATGACAGAGCCAGAATTTAAGACTGGGCTCCCAGTACCATTATCTTTATACCACGGCATCCTGCTTCATTTAGTCGTTCATTTTGCTCATTCATTGAATTAATTAAAGACTTTTATTTATTGTTTATTTGAGAGAGAGTTACAGACAGTGAGAAGGAGAGACAAAGAAAAGTCATCCATCCACTGATTCACTCCCCAAATGGCTGCAATAGCCAGAGCTGGGCCAATCTGAAGCCAGGAGCCAGGAGCTTCTTCCGGGTCTCCCACGTGGGTGCAGGGGCCCAAGCACTTGGGCCATCTTCCACTGCTTGCCCAGGCCACAGCAGAGAGCCGGATTGGAAGAGGAGCAGCTGAGACTAGAACTGGTGCCCATATGGGATGCTGGCACCGCAGGTGGAAGATTAACCTATTGTGCCGCTGCACTACAGCACCAGTCTATCTATCATCTTCTTAATTAGGCCAGAGACCAGAACTCACTGAGGCAAGTAAGCCTGGTGGGACTATGCTACAACAGTACAAAAGAGCATCAATGAGGGGCTGGTGCTGTGGCACAGCAGGTTAAAGCCCTGGCCTTTAAATCCAATGTACCAAACAAACAAACAAACAAAAAAAACACACACACACATAGGCTAGATTGTGGTTTACTGACTGCCTTAGGTGTAGAAAAATAAGAGGGATTAGTGTAGAGCCCTGAAGAGCACCACCATTAAAAGGGGTGGGCAGAGAAAGAGGAAGAGGATGAAGACCAAGAAAGGCAGAGATCTGGGAGGGAAAGAGAAGACCAGATAAAAGTGAGGCTGAAGAATCCATAGCAGTGAAGCATTTCAGAGAGGAGAGTCGTCAGCGCCACCAAGGGTAGCACAGGGATCACTGTGGCCGGGTATGCCTCAAAGACCCAATCACAGTTGTGACATCTTGAGACCGCAGATGTAATTACTGCTAAGGAGAGGGGAAAAGAGATCAGCCCAGTGTTAGAAATGAGGCCATTGGTCCTGGGGAATGGAAGAATAGTGCATAATGGGGCCCTATTGGGATCCGACGCCTGAATCATTGAAGGGCACTCTGAGGACCTCCCATGAACATCTCAAAAGCAAAGATGGACTTTGCCAGTTCAGCCACCCCGGTCACTCTCTTGTGGCTAAAACTGGAGACAAGTAGGAAACCAGAGAACTTGCCTCAACCTCCCCTCATCAGGGAAAGAGAAGGATAAATGAAAACTCCAATGCTCTGCCAGTAGTGAATTCTGAGATCTTTTATTTGTTTCCATGTAAATATCAATATTATTATTAGCTATATTATTAATACCAATATTAATACTCTGAGAGCTAAGAAAGCACAAATACAAAATTATGGTTTAAAATAGGGGGCCAGCCCATTATTCTTAAAAATAATTTACAATTTGGATCAAGATTGGAATCCCTTCAGCACTCCCTAAATAGAATTTCACTAAGTAACAGTTGTTAACAGCTCTTGTAAGAGTCATCAATAAGATTGATAGAAGATGCTAGCTTGTCCAGAGGCAAAAAAAAAAAAAATGTCTATGTAGTAAAACAGAAAGCTACATGCTTTGACTCAGAACAACTAGTACAAAGTAACAATATAGCTTTCTCTGCATGAATATCGAAGCTGCCAGACATTTAGCATTCCTTTCCTTTAACAAGGAAGGAAAGCAGGATACAGAAATAGGAAATGATTTGCCCAAGGTCACCTAGCTAGTTAGTGACCCAGTCAAAGTTACAGTTCCTATCTCCTGACGTTGTCTTGGTTTTCTTTCCACAAAACTCTGCCTTGCATAGAAAAGGGTTAATTGTCCCTTTGGAAGCCATGCTTTAAAGGGACCGACACACAGAACAGGTGCACGTTGCTGGGTAGACGGTGGCAGAGGAAGCCTGGCACATGGCAGAGATATTCCTGGGGCTGAGGAGACAAGTGTGAGAAGAGCAGGCAGGTGTGGTGGAAGGGAGTGGGCTGCTGGGAGGAGAGGCCCTGAAACCAATGAACAGCCCACTCAGTTATGCCTGGGCCTCGCATGCACACTGCACGTCCATGAGAAAGGTGGAAATCCCAAACTTTAAAAAGTAAACATACATTTTCTTAAATATTACTTGTAGTCATAAACATTTACTTGTTAAAATATCACTCATTAAGTAACTGCAGCTTTGCGAAACATAAAAAGTAAATTACACACACACACACTTGTATGCACATAAATCTGAGCAGTCAAGACAGATATCACAGAATATCTTTCTCAGAATAATTCCTGCAAAGCGTTTAATCCTCTACCTGGCCCACAGCAGGCCCTCCGCAAATGGCTAGCTGTTATTATGACTACGATTGTGATTACAGTGTCCTGATAGCCACTCAGAGCTTGGTTACTCTTACCTTACACACAATTGCTTTTATTTTGCATTTTAATTCGGCTTCTTTCCATACAAATTAAAATAGAGTGGTAGTTGGACATAGAAGTGTACTTCCAAAAGTTCTTGGAAAATGGATTTAAAATGTTTATTTCAATGCAAAGAATCTTTGAAATCCATATATACTTTTCTCAAAATACAATGTTCCACAAACAGGCTCCCCTGTAAACGCTTAGTCAGGAGGACACAGAAAATTATGCCAAAGAGACAAAAAAAAAACCCAAATGTAATTGAGACCATTTAGTGTATCTTTCTGAAGATCCTAGCGACAGTCAATGGATTACAGAACATAGAATTTCTTTGATGACAAAGAATATCCAAAAAGATTCTATATTCATGTCCTCTATGAAGCAACAGGGAAACATTTGCTACCACTAAAAATTACTTAAAATGTAAGTTTATCAAAGTTTTGGCACAGAGAAGTTATAAATTTTGTGGTAACTTGACATAAAAAAAGTCACATTTCTCCATAATGTCATTAAGCATGATACATCATATCAACTTAAGAGGACATTCAAAATAAACATAAGGGGCTCTATCACCTTAGAGCCTTGATATTGGCTGATGATAAGTCTAATTCCAATTACTAATGGGAGACGTTACATGGCATTATGGTATTCCTAGACTGAGATCATTCCCATTTTTTTCATAAGATGCATGGCTTCTTCATGCCAATTGACACAACACTGCATTTGAGAACAGCCTCACTTCCTTTGGAACCAGCACCATGGTTCATACGAACGAAGCGTGGAGCTGAGGTGGTATCTCAGCACCAACAGGAAGACAAACACGACTAACTCTGCCTCTCTGTGGCAAAGGATTTTTCTTCCCTTGGCTGTTCAAATTCTTACTTGCTTTTACCCTGAGCAGTCCCAGTCATGGTGTAATAAAGATAACCCTCACAATAAATTAGCCCACTTTCCCTGAATAGGAGCATCTCTCTCGGTTCTCCCTGAACCACTGACTAGATTGTTCACAGCATCACAACTTCAGGATGGTTCTTTGAAGAGATGTTTCTCTTAAGTTTGGATGATGGAAAAACAAAGCAGCAAAGGAAAAGAGCCCACAGCACACAGCATTTCAGGTCCTGATGTCCACAAGCTGATTTTCCTTTGGAACTCCCTCCGAGGGAGAGCGGAGCTGAGGCAAGATGCAAGCTGTGACCAGTCTGGTTGAAGAGGCCACATGGGTTCCCAAGGGTTAGTCCACACCACCTTCTGCGGATCCATAAGCCCACTCCTTGTTCCTCTTCCTGTTGACAACGCCACACGCTTGCCCAGTCTCCAGCAAGTGGCAGTCAAGTGCCTTTTTGAGTAACGTGAGTTTATTACAACAACCGCCTGATGGTAGAACCACTGAGTCTCGAAAAAGCAGCACCTGTTTTCCCTTTCTCACGAAGGTGCCTAATAGGGCTGAGGCCAGGCAGGGAGATGAAGGCCAGGACTTAGAAGACAGAAGGGTAAGGTTAACTGATATGTAAAAGGAGTTTTAAATATCCCTGAGGTGGGGAGCAAGGGGAGGGGCTACAGTGCAGGATCCGCTTCCTGTCCTGTCCCGCGTCGCTGAGCTGGGACAGCGCCTCACGCGTGAGGAGGAATCCGTGTCCTGTCCACCCCCAGCTTGGCATTCCTGCTGGTGCCTGGTTTTAGGTGTGGCCATGAGCCCCTCAGGGAGCGCAGTACCCACCGGGATTTTGAAGGATGACAATCAGCTCCCCAGCATTCACACTGAGCTGCTTGCAGGAGGCGCTGTCGGTGGTCACATTCAGGTAGACTTTGTCTTTGTAACCCAATTTTAACACCACGTTGGAGTTGGCAAACTTGGTCTTCTTCAGGATCGGGAAGGGCTCCTCACCCTTCCGATAGTGAAGACTAATGCTGACCTCCTGGGAGAAGTAGCCCTTCAGAGACAGGAGATAAAAGCCATCACACTGGATGACGACTGAGTTGTTTTGCACTTCCATGGTTCCGTCCCTTTTTTGGAGTGGGAGGATGAAACTGTCCTCTTCACACTCATGGGATGTTAAGACTAGAAATTAAAAAACAGAAACGTGAATCCTACATATAGAATACATCTACAATAAGGTGAAGAGAAAGTTACAGGGAGAGACTGTGGGAAGAGAGCGCTGTTTTCCTGCAGGTAGAAATCTTCATCAGTGGAAGAAAAGCTAATGCCCACGGCCCAAACAGCCTCCGATGCGGCTGGAATTCCAGAGTTGTAAGGCAGGGCTTCCCTGGTGTTTCAGAGCCTGCAGGGGCTGACGGTTCAGTCCTTCCTCTCTTACTCAGTGAATGGGAGGGACCGTGGCAAAGGGTGGCAGTGCTGCCCCTTGTCCGGCTCCTGTACACTTCTCTCACTCTGAAGTTTAACTGAAAGCAAGTGTTTCTAACTGCTCCCTATCCTCTCTCCGCCTGGTCGTGTCCTCAGGGCACTGGACTTACCAGCAGCATGTACTGAAGCTTTCTAGGACGGCTAAGCACGGAACGTCTGTGGATTCAGCTCACTAAGATGAAGAGCTCAAGGACACAGATTCTCTTTTCCCTTCTCCCTTCTATTGCTAGTTTTTCTGGGAAAGTGCTATAGCAGAGTTGCTGCCACAGGAGAAAGAGATGGCAGCAGAGTAACAGGTTTGGTAACTTTGAGCAGGGCCAGTCCACATGCAAGCCAAAAGCCTGCATCTCTTCTATTTCCATACCAGCCCCACTATCATCCTGCTTGGCCACTCTGTTCTTGCCCTTGTCCCTTGGTTATGGGGAAGAATAGGTCCTCACTGCTGACCACAATTCAGTAATTCTTGCTTTATAGCTGGTCCAGGCAGCATATGTTTGACTGAAAATGAAGACTATTTCTGGAGAGCAAGACATATTTCCGTTCAGGCTCTGTAGAACTCAATATACAAATGAATATTCATTTAGAAACCACTGGTGATTGTTCTAGTATTAATCATGGACCCAAACAATGACCTCACGGTAGTTAAAATATCACCCTTTCTTCCTATCTAGAGCTTTCCCCAGTTGTCGTTAAGATGTAATCTTGTCCAGGAGAGAATTAGCAGATGATGTGATAGACAGACTTAATATCCTTAACTGAAAAATGAGAATAATTTCTATTGAAAGTGTGCATGGGGAAATTTAAATGTGGTACCTAAAGTAATTAGCACAAAGATAAAAAATACATTTGGTAATGAATTACTCCCCTTTTTTTCTTGATATACCATCTTTGTCCCTATTGAAAACAATACACAGGCTCAGAAAACTCTGGGATTTAAGGATTCCCTAATGAAAAGGACAGATCTTGTGTTGTGGAGGAAATCAAGAAACTAAAGAGAAGATTGTTTCAAAAATATGAATCAAACTTTTGATAATACTTACTTTGAAGTTGTGTCATGATATTTTCAATTGGAGGATACTGAAGTGACACCTGAGAGAGGGAAAAAATGGGGGGCATTTTAATGATCTAATTATAATTTATTTGTTTATTTTATTTGAAAGGCAGAGAGACAGAGATTGCCCATCATCTGGTTCACTCCCCAGATGCTCACAACAGCCATGGATGGGCCAGGCTGAATTCAGAAGTCAGGAATTCCAACGGGGTCTCCCACATGGGTGGCTGAGACCCAACAACTTGAGCTGTCACCTTCCGCCTCCCATGGTGTGCATTAGCAGGAAGCTGGAATGAGAAGCAAAGTGGGACTCAAACCCAGGCACTTTGATACAGTATGCCGAAGCAGGATCTTAACCACTGCTAAATGCTCACGTCAAGGGTATATTTGTAGAAAAGAAAACACGAACAAATGGAATCAACAAAGCATATCTAGAAAAGCAGAAATCCAGTAGCCTGTAGAGGAAAATATAGAGCTTTTTCTAATTAGATCCAGTTTTCTTACCTACCTCCCTTTCTTTTCTATACCATCTCTGAAGACAAATTAGGACCGCTGCACTGTTTTATGCAAGCATCTGAGATCTGTCCTCATTTCTATCAAACTCTCCTTTGATGTATTGTTTCATCTCACTGAGCCCCAATTCCCAATTTAGATGAGAGAACCCTTAACAAGTCATTTCGTGACAAGCTCATTCAGTGACAGAGGCCCTCATGAGGAAGCCTGCAATGAATCAATCCATCACAGCCGTAGACCCCCAGAAAGCACCCGAAGCTTCCTGTATTGTTTAGTCTTCCACTGTATCACAAGAGGAAGAGCTTCCTATTTTCAGTGAACATAGGCTTGATGAGCTTTAATGTCTAACTTCTCTGTATTTTGGTTCTCCTCTTCTAATCCTTCAAAGTCAGTACATTTGAATGTAGTTCAAAAAAAAAAAAAAAAATTGGATCTTTCCATTCCTTTCAACAGTTTGAAAACCCAAACTTGGACCAAGTCAGTATTCAGCAGCAAGCAAAGAAGTAAAATATAGAGAAAACATAGTAAGTAACATGTTTATAATAATTTGGTGGTTAAAAGAATAACAAGTTGAATGTGGAGAAACTACAAGATCTACCAAGCGAAAGTAGCAAAAGCAAGAATCACACATAAAGTGCATTGCCATTTATGTTCTAGAAAACAGTAACATCTCTATGGGCATTGAATATGTCTGAAAGGAAACACTGGGAACGGATCGGAGAATAGACGCCTATTGTGCCTACCAAGAACGACAGTGCTGTTTCCCAACACAGAAAGATGGCAATTCTTTGAAATGGAAATGCTAATTATCCAGCAGTGTGCACTGCATTCATGTACTGAACTATCACATTCTGCCTCATAATCTGTACAATTATTATGTGTCATTAAAATTTTTCAACGTTTCTCAAAATAAGTTTTTAAGTTTGGAAATAGTTGTGAAAATACTGATATATATCAAAAGACCGAGAAGTCCTCCAGAAAGAGCTTCTCAAGCGACCCTATAGGGTTGTCTGTATAATTTATCCAGTTTGGCAAAATCATTAGCTGGACTTTGATTACATGCAACTGTCCTGGCAACAGCAAGAGGCCCACAGAGGCTGGCACCGCGGCTCACTAGGCTAATCCTCCGCCTACAGCACCAGCACCCCAGGTTCTAGTCCCGGTCGGGGCGCCGGATTCTGTCCCGGTTGCCCCTCTTCCATGCCAGCTCTCTGCTGTGGCCCTGGAGGGCAGTGGAGGATGGCCCAAGTGCTTGGGCCCTGCACCTGCATGGGAGACCACGAGAAGCACCTGGCTCCTGGCTTCGGATCAGCGTGGTGCGCCGGCCGCAGTGGCCATTGGGGGAGTGAACCAACAGCAAAGGAAGACCTTTCTCTCTGTCTCTCTCTCTCACTGTCCACTCTGCCTGTCAAAAAAAAAAAAAAAAAAAAAAGAGGCCCACAGAGTAGCTGCCAAGCAGATGCTGCAAAGAAGAATCACAATTAGACCCTTTTTGGCTTCTCCCAGCTCCTTGCTCACTGAACTGAGAACAGAGAGGGACTCTGAAGTCAGGTGTTGATCCAGCAGCCTGAAACATGTTCCCAAGAAGGTGACACTTGTTTCAAGGGCTCAGCATTGCAGAGTGTGAGCCTCTAATTCTGACTAGTAGGATGTGGTATGGGGCTGCTGACCTTGTACTCATCTGGCATTTGCCCTAGAGTGGGGTATCTGTGGCGGGAGAGGGTGATACTCATCGAGAACGAAATCAGGAAGTGGGCTCTGCATTCACCATGTGGGCCTTGCCATTCCGCACTTGATACCAGGTCCGGATGTCAAGATCCCGGAGGAGAGTGGGGCTGGGGTGTGAGTCAGTGGAAGATGGTGGGGAGACAGATTGGTGATGGAGACTCACCATGCCACCTCCACTGGGACAAAACCACACCTAGATCCTCCTCGGGCATCATGTCAAAGTAGATCTGAGAGATGGTCAAAGCATGACCTCACAAGCTCTCAGCATGTGTCTAAAGGGGCCCCAGAACATGACGGTGTAAGTTTGCACATTTACCCACTACAGAAGTCTGAGTGTGTAGACTCTGATCCTGGTGAATCAAGTGTGTCCTCACTGGGACAACAGGATGGACCGCTGACTTCTGATCAGAGAATTTCAGAACCTTACCCAGAGAAGATACAAAGAACAGGCAAAAACTAGTTCTTTGGCCAAGGAATCTTCCAGTCAAAAAGTTATTCCCAAAGTTCTATTTCTTAGAGACAAAGATACATGGTTTTGAAAACTTTGTTAAGAATAAAATCCTGGGGCACACGCCATGGCACAGTGGTGAAAGCTAGGCCTGTATCCCATATTCGCATCTGTTCAAGTCCCAGCTGCTCCACTTCCCATCCAGCTCCCTGCTAATGGCCTGGGAAAGCAGTGGGAGATGGCTCAATAGTTGGATCCCTGCACCCACATGAAAGACCAGGAAGAGGCTCCTGGCTTTGGATCGGCTCAGCTCTGGCTATTGTGGCCATTTAGGGGTGAACTAGTTGATAGAAGATTCTCTGTCTGTCTCTCTCTCTCTGCCCTTCAAACAGATAAATAAATCTAAAATAAAAAAGAATGAAATCCTGCATTTTGCAACAAAATGGATGTAACTAGAGGCCATTATGCTAGTGAAATAAGTCAGTCCCAAAAAGACAAATATTATATGATTTTTCTGGTATGTGATAATTAATAAAGAATATAAAAATGTATAAGAGTAAAACTTAAATCTTATAAATTGATTATTGTTCATAGCCCTTTTCTGTATTCCTACGGAACAGTGGTCCTCCTACTTTTTACTTGTTGAACATTTTGGTTAATGGTGCACAAAGCCTGTGATTATATTGTAAATTAAAGGAAAAGGAAAAAGGAAGGGGGGGTGCTGAGGAATGGAGGGAGGAAGAGAAGTGTGTTTATCTTCTTAGAATTTTATTTATGAAATACATAAAATTTTTTCTCCTTATATTAATAAAAATATTTTATTGTTAATTGAAATGTAGCGAGTCCAAGAGAAGCCTCTTTAATTGTCAATCAAAACATATTTCTTCAGTGCCCACCAGGCACATTTTTACTGCAGCCTCACTCAGCTTATTCTCCCACTATACAGCCTGTGTAATACCCTAATAGCATCCTCTCTCTACTTCTTCTCAAACCTTTTTGGTAAAGACTAACTAGGAAGGAAGGCCTTCCTCAGCTCTACTCAATGAACAGGGCTTGTGGCTTCATTTTCCTGATGCTGAGAAATTGACAGATCCCTAAGATGAATCTTAGCTATACAGACAAATATCCAAGTGATATAACAACACACCTTCAAAATATGTGGCTGATCTAACACACCAAGTCCACGTCCTCAGGGGAATATCTCTTACATGTGCATTTCCTGTTCCACATTAACTGAGGAAGTTTTCAAAGTACACTCACAGGAGGATCTGCCACAACATTTCTGAGAACTCCCTTTAGTAAGTTTCCACCATGATATCCTTTCTCATGCCAGCTTAGTCTTGATGCAACTGGAAGGCTGGGTTTAGTTCCCACTGCATGTCCATACCTCCTACCATCTCAAATGTGACAATCAACAGACATTAGCTGAACTAAGGTATGTCCAAAACTTTGGTAGTGACTGTATGATCACTCAATACCTGATACTGGCTCTAATCAATGCCATACATTACTGAAGGTTTTTAAAATAGTCTCATTCATTCTTGAGTACAAAGGGAGTAGCAGAATTACAAATCACTCATTGTTCATCTCATTTGCTACATAAAAAGGAGGGAATATTGCCTTGATAAGGAACCCAGCAAAATGGACAAAGCCTTGGGCAATATCAATTAGAACGGCTGGAACAAAAGACCTAAGACCACTTTCACTTCAGAGATGAGGCAAATCCCAATAATCAAAAGAGAAATTCCATGGGGATTGAGTGATAAGAAAGTTACACTTTTCAACACAATAACAACCCCTGTCTTGTAACAAAAAAGCAGACCTCATCCTCCCAAGGTGGTTCCCTCTGATGATAAATGAGCAATTGAGACTATGTATTGCTGTATATAATTGAGCTCTTAGCCTCCTTTGCATGAGGCCAAATAATTTTCAACACATGCTCCAATTTAAATTAAGTTTGCAACTGGAAAAACTATCACAGAATTGCAGTGGGATTATATTAGGATGGCAGTGACAATGACTACAATGGTATTTTACACTAAATCTTTCCTATTATTTAATAAAAGAGAAAAAACAAGCACCTAATGCAAAAGAAAATTATGTTCACTTTATAATAATTTCCATCCCAATCATTGATGCATTTCTTTCTCTTTCTAGGCTCATTCTCTGGCTGCTTGCAAGACAGCGGGGGAGCCCAGCCCTGACACTTACGCACACAGGAGCCCTTGGTTCCCCACCTGTACAATCCAATACATTGGGAACAAAGGCTTCCTATCCACAAGCTTTAATACAACTAGTATTGGGAGAGTTAAAGTTTATCCACCATCAGTGTGTGTCATGAAGTAGCAT